TTGCCAAAGAATTTTGAGAATTACCCTGGTTAGTACTTGGTTTGAACTCTTTTAGAAATATAATCCCGATCAAAAAGGTCAATTCCCTGAGCTGAGCAGTTTAATTTTTCTCCAAGAGTGATATTTGTGCTTGGCGCCATTATGTGATGTGCAAAGAGTAGAGGAGAGGAGAGAGCAACAGAGTATAATCATGGAGTCCGAGCGAGCTTCATGCACGCTCCACCAGCTACTCCCGCTCTGTGATCGCCTGCTCATTCGTAGGGGGTCTTTGCCTGCAAAAACGCTCAATCCAGCGCAATGCGCATGCAAAAATTTTCGATCTGTCATATCAGCACTTTTCGCCGCGCGTCCGCGTCTACCACGTTTGCGAAAATTTCATTGCGGAATTTTGAGTTTATATTTAAAATTCTTGTCCCGTCCCACTTCAGCCGTGAACTCGCGCAGTGTGAGTGTGAGGGTGAATCACCGTTTTATTTTTGCATACCGGTGGATTCCGTCCGTGTGTCCGTGTATGTAACCTAATTCCTTTCGTGTCCGTACATATTTACTCCTGAAAGAGGAATACCCTGAATTTTTAACCGGTTTAAGTAATTCTAAGAAGTTCTTCCAGGTTCTCCACAACTCAAGTTAGCTTCAAAGTTCATTAAAAACTTACAGTGATGCATTGCTCCAACACACCATCGGTCACCGTCAGCAGTGACAAAGTCACCTACACAGACCATTTCATCGAGACTTTATTCAACTACACCTCAACTCAGATTGAAAATATAGCAGATGGTTACAAGGTAATCAGCAAAAATTGATAATATCCAAACTCTTTTCACAATTACTCCGTATAATCATTATTATGCCCCAATGCTAATATCGATGGTGTAAGTCCGCAATCACATATCGATGGTGAAAGTCGGCAATTACACAACTCGTTTGCGGTGTCTGAAAATCTCCGCCTCTACGTCATTTTTTTAAAGGAGAACAAATTGATATTATTTCTTGAAGTTTTTGCAGAATTTTCTTAGCATTGAGAAGAAAAATCATGACAGTTTTAAAGAATTGCTGTTGAGTAGTTTTCCATTTTAAAAATAAAGTATGACAAGAAGTCTGCGACGTCGCAAACCAAGTTATGTGATTGCCGTCTTTCACCGTCGATATCTCATCTGCGGTGTCTGAAAAGCTCCGTCTCTCTGTTAATTTAGTAAAGCAGAACAAATTGACATCATTCCTTGAAGTTTTTACAGGATTTTTTTCGCACATAGTAGAAAAATCGCGACAGTTTTAAAGAATTGCCGTCGAAAAGTTTTCCGTTTAAAGGATAATGTATTACTGGATGTCTGCAATGTTGCAAACAAAGTTACGTGCTACTTACACCGTTGATATGTATATGCAACTATTGATAGAACGGCACAATACTAACTTTTTTGCTGTGCACGATAAAGAGAACTTGCTGGGTAAATTTAATTTCTCAATTTAATGACATCAAACTTTGATCAGGGCAACAAATGTAGAATCTTAATTTATCAGCCACAAACAAACTAGGCAGAGCCAAACACTATTTTATGAAGAAAAAGTCAGTTTTTGACGGAGATCAAAACTAACATAGCACCTTGAGTACCTAATCATCATATTGCCCCAAAATAAGACAAGCTCTGTCCATCCTATACAGGTCACACCAAAGCAAACGGAGTTAATGATTCGTACAAGTCGCATTGTCCCCCGCATTGGTTTAATGATGGTCGGATGGGGCGGAAACAATGGAACAACACTAACTGCAGCGCTCCTTGCAAATAAACATGGCCTCAAGTGGCGGACCAAGACAGGAGAACACTCGGCTAATTGGTAGGATTGAAGAGGCCTTTGCAGGTCTCTCCTTAAGTTATCGAAGATTACTTTTATGTAAATTCATCATCACCGCTTATATCTCATCTTTACACCTCTGACGGAAGCCCACTCCTTTTCTTGATTGCAAAGATTTTTAGGAGGAACCAAAACTGGGCCCACTAGTGAAACGTTTCAATGGCTAAAATACAAAATCATGCGTCTCCATATCTATGTTCTAAAACTTCTGCTCCTATTTCATTTTTGCGCGGAAAAACAAGCTACCTAACTAGATAGCTTCAAATGTATTCAGATTATTCTATCATCAGAGAAAAAAATTCAAAGAAGTTTTCAAGAAATTACTCTGACTAGTTTGCCGAAAGAAAATCAAAGGATGACAGGAACTCTGCAAAGTCGCAAACAGAGCTACGTGATTTTGCACTCTGACCATTGATGACCATATTGAGCAACCTGATGTTTTCTCCACAAGTTCCACCTTAGATATTACATCTAAAAAATTCTATCCGAGTGGTCAATTTCTTGACTTTAATTTTTGTTACATTCCTTTTTTTTGTGCAAACAACACTGCAACAATTCTATTACTTACTAGCGGTGCACAAACTGTTTTTTATCACAACCTACAGATTAGAAGGGAAAATTAAACTTTGAGTAACAACTCTAAAATCATTGAACCAATGACTATGAGGCTTCGACAGAAAAGCTCTGTGCGGAAAAAAAGTCAGCACTTGACAAGTCTCTGCACTTTTGACCCCTGCTATCTATGTAACAATGTAATTTAGAACATATCAATGGTGTAAGTTGGCAATCACTTAACTCGTTTGCGGTGTCTGAAAATCTCCGCCTCCATGTTATTTTTTTGAACGAGAACAAATTGACATGATCTCTTGAAGTTTTTGCAGAATTTTCTTCGCACAGAGAAGAAAAATCACGGCAGTTTTGAAGAATTGCCATTGAGTAGTTTTCTGTTCAAAAAATAAAGTATGACAGGAAGTCTGCGACGTCGCAAACCAAGATATGTGATTGCCGACTTACACCGTCGATATATATTTTTTAAATTTGAGCGTTGTGAATTTGGTGTGATTTGAAATTTAACTTGTCCGCTCTGAGGAGAAATCTATGATGACCAAATTTCATATTTATATCAGGAATTAAAAAGGTGTCACATTTTTTAGGTACGGCTCTATCACTCAAGCTTCAACGGTTAGACTGGGCACCAATGAAGATGGCTCCGAAATATATGCTCCAATGTCCAGTCTAGTCCCAATGCTGAATCCAGACAATCTGGTTGTGGACGGTTGGGACTTATCCTCTTTGGATCTGGGAGCAGCCATGCAGAGAGCATGTGTTCTTGACCAGGCTCTTCAAGAACAGTTGCTTCCATTAATGTCAAAATACAAGCCAAGGGCTACTGTATATGTTCCAGACTATATAGCTGCCAATCAGGTATATCTCCTTTTTTCACTGTCTCTTTTGTGTTTTTTCCAATGACTGTTTGTTGTCTATAAAGGATCACATACAGAACGAAGGAATACATGAAATGATGGGCACCAAAACAATGGCATGGGGTGGATGATCGATTATCGATATTTCTCTATTTGAAGCTATGGTAAAGAATCAATTATCAAGTTATCAAGTATCAAGATTATCATTTATCAACTTCATTGATCCTTATTCACAGGTTTAAATGGCAGATCAAGATCAATCGATATATCGCAAAGCACGCCACGCCACTGCACCGAAAAGAACATGGAATCTGGTATTTTCACCAAAGAGTCTGTCTGGTATGGTCACGCACAAAAGGTGCTGGATAATAGGTTGCCTAAGAAGGTTTTGGATTGGGTTCCCTATGGCAGACAACATAAAAGAGAGGTCCGCTAAATCTTGAATCGGTGGTACCTATCCAACAAGAAACAAGGAGGTGCGCTTTGTCGGAGGAACTCTGGCCAGATTGCCATGAATGGTGGCTGGGTAGGTTGGGTGTCACAGAGCTCTTGGAAGTGCTACAAATACAGCAACTACATACATACTTATTCGTTGTTAATTGTATGAACTTGCATGTTGGGAAAGCTGTGGATGCCAAACTCAAACTTTCAAAGTTTCCTGGAAATTTTCTCCATTTGTATTTATTACATACCCATTTTAAGTGTAGACAAGAGAACACTAAAAATATAACCTGAGCATTGTAATTTACAGTATGGTTTGGATCCATACTATTCAAAGAGGAAATCAAGGCAATAAATTTCAAAATTACAAATTTTTCCGGTATTTTATTTTATAATTCTTACACAGTGGCAGGCTAATATATTACAATCGTTTAAGGATTGAAATCTTTGGCCAGTAAAACGTCCGACCAATGTCAAAATGTTATTTAGAAATGTCTCAAATTGTTTTTCTGTTTTGTTTGCAGTCAGAGCGAGCAGATAATGTCATGCAAGTAACCAATAAGCAAGAAGCAGTTGACAAAATACGGTTAGACATCCGTGACTTCAAAGATAAGAACAAACTTGACAAGGTCAGGATTCTTTCTGTGTTCTAAATAATAATTTGTTGAAAGGTATTTACACCACATTTCCCTTTAGAGGCATGTTTTGTGAATAAGCAGTCAATTCCTAGTTTTTTTAGTGCAGCTAAGAACAATACTCGAATATTCTAAATAATTTAAGGAAAGAAGAACACAGAAAAATTGGCAAACAAGGCTGAAATATGTCACAAAATGAATGCTACTATTCGGAGTGGTCTGTCAACCCGGAGACAGAAAGAATTAGGCCTTGTCCACACGAGCGCGGTTCGCGGAAACTTATTCCTCGAACTGCTCAGTTCCCGGAACTTATTCCTTGAAACGAGGCATGCTGTCCACACGAGTTCGTCCGAACTGGAACCGGAAGTTCGTGTATATGATGGCGGGAATTTTGAAGGTTATGACAGAGTACGTTCCTTTATTAATAATTTCTCCTTTATCAATAATTAAATTCCTCTTTGATAATTTGCTTTAAGATTCAAATTAAATCAGACTTACCTTCGTCGGACTCACGAAAATGCAGGATGAAATAACGGGAGAATGTAAACAACAGATCACGTTACAACAATAACAAAGTTCCTACTTCGGAATAGATCGGAGGAATATGTTTTTAGCTCAGCAGAAACTTGTTTGCGGAACGAGTTCCTCGAACTAGTTTCTCGAACCGCGCTCGTGTGGACAAGGCCCGAAAATCAAACAAGCACAATATAATAAAAACGTGGATCCTTTGTTGTTGATAACTAATTAGAGGATAGGTCATCCCCAGAGGTCTACAATGAGTTGTCAACAATTTCCCTGATGCCTTTATCTTAAATTATTTTTTCATCAAAGATTGAGGTATTTCTGAATCTATATCACTTCCATCCATACTCGTTCCCTGCCATCCTAATCGTATTGTCCACCATGCTCTTTAATTGTCCCCAATGTATTTTTGCTGTGAATGACTTTCTCCCTTGTTTCCAGGTCATAATATTATGGACTGCTAATACTGAAAGGTTCAGTGATGTAGTGGCTGGATTGAATGACACAAGTGAGAATTTATTATCATCAATTGCCAAGAATGCGTCTGAAGTAGCACCCTCAACTTTATTTGCTGTGGCTAGTATTTTAGAAAACGTAAGTCAATTACATCAAAAGCTCTCTAATGCAGTGAAAATGCAAACTTCAAAAACCATGAGCTGTCTGGTCTAAATATCCCATAGAAGTTACAAAAAATGTTTTGGGTTGAAGCACAAACATTGAATCACGTAGACCGTTCATCATGTGTTAAAGAAGGCGAGATAGCTTTTAAAAATTTGCATGCCGATGAGTGTTGGCACCGACCCGCATCGATGAGTTTGTGTGTCCCAATTGCGCACATCTGCGCCTGCGCAGTAGCGGCTCCAGTGAATTTTTCTCGGATTTTGAGGCTTTTTTTCTTGGTTAATAATTAGTTTGGACAAATGAATCATTGCTATTCGGTTGTAAAATTATATGTTCTAAAACTTTTCTTCTTAGGAATTTAATCTGAAAATGGACTGTAAACGAGATATCTGTGAAAAACCGAGCACGTGAATGAATTCTCCATTGCCGCTCTGCTGTCTCTTTGAGTGCTTGGGGTACATGCTCTCTCCTTTTCCCTGCCCACCCATCATGGGACTTTGAGAGACTTGTCTCACTCCGCATGTACGAAACCGAGCTGGATGCACGGTCTATGTGATTCAATGTCTTCGGGTTGAAGACATATTATGCTTTTGGGCTCAAATTGTTCATAATTTTCTATCATTATGCATAAAAAACTCATCCTACGTTTTGTGCTGAATTTTAGAGAAGATGAGACTAAGGGAGAAGTTTATTAGCCCCTCTGATCACTCATGTAACTATAAATTCTTATTTTTCAGTGTTCATTTATTAACGGTTCTCCCCAAAACACTTTTGTTCCTGGTTGTATTGAACTGGCTAAAAAACATGGTGTTTTTATTGGTGGTGATGATTTCAAGTCGGGACAGACAAAAATCAAATCTGTTCTTGTTGATTTCCTTGTTTCTGCTGGCATCAAACCTGTCTCTATTGTCTCTTACAATCATCTTGGAAACAATGATGGGAGAAATCTGTCTGCTCCTCAACAGTTCAGATCTAAAGAGGTACATAATTTTTATCTCATCACTTTTATTTTCTATTACTATTTAGACTTTAACCAATTGTTAGTCTATTTAATGTTGGTTGAGTTGAGTGTCCGAGGTCGATTTCCAAAACTTCATACTCTACTTGGAGGAAGTTAGGAAGTGTTTCAATGAAAAAATTATGATGAAAGATTTTAAAATTTTATGCTGAAAGTATGAAGGACATTTTCTACTATAACATAGTGTCATCTGCACAGTGCATACATGTTTCAAATTGACTTTTGACTTAATAATTCTTATCTTAGGCTTCATTTTTTTCTCTTTGTGTCAAATCAAGGTTAGATTTAATTGATGAAAGTAGCTGACATTCATTTATGAAGTTTACAATCCTTCTATGTACATAAGTTTCCTGTAGTTAAACGAAAGAAAGTCCGCGCTAAATTAGTGCTTATAACTCCTCACATTGCTATTTCCATAGAAATTATCAGCTTTTTTTAAACTGAGGTTATTTGAGAAGCTTAAGCAAAATGTATTGCCTGTGCAAACTGCAACGTGATTACTATGCCTTGATTACATTGATGCCTGAATGTAGGGCACTTACCTCTTTTAGTGTATTTTCCGAAGGAAATACAATATTGCTAGTTTGCAAGTGAGAGCTCCCATCAAAAATTAGCTATATTTTTCTACATCCGAGTATCGCCATGTTATTCACCACAACTTTTTTTCTTATATCTGTGCTGATGTCCTGTTTGGTTTGAATTCTGTTTTATAGACCACTGTCAAGGAAGTACATAGATGCTGTGTAATTTTCTTCTTCATCCTCTTTCTCTATGTTTTGGGATACAATTTGTTTCATTTAGGTCATTGAATCCACACTCAAATCTTGTTTTGGAGTCGCCTGTAACTCATAAAAATGTGAGGAAATGAAGGAATTTACAAAGCAATGGATTCGTGGAAGACCAACCTATGGAAAAAAATGAATTTCACTCCATAATATTTATACTGAAAACGATTTCACAGATCTGTCTTATTTATTTTTTATGGATCCTTTCATTTTGAATTCTCTTCTCTCTCATGTTTTTGTAGATTTCGAAGAGCAGTGTTGTTGACGACATGGTTGCATCAAATCGTATCCTATACAAAGAGGGTGAGAAGCCCGATCACTGTGTTGTCATCAAATATGTCCCTTATGTCAGTAAGTATTAATCTTTTGGCAGAAGTGTCTGCATAATTTTTTTCTACCTGATAATTTTTCCTAAGAATTGTCCCAAGTTTTTAAAAGTTTTGAAGTTAATTGAATGGGAGCCAAGATATTTGTATAAACAAGAAAAAAAACCTCCAAGAAACATGGCCGAAACTGTATGTAATAATATGGTAAAACAGTGCTGGGTCCAGACTTTTCGGCGGGAAATAAGGTCAAAAAGTTGACAAATTTTCAATTAGAGTAATAAATGTAGAGCTGTAATGAGTACCAATACAAAGCTGAGGGGGGAGAGTGCTCAGCTCGAGTAGTTTGCATTGGAATATTAAGTTGAGGTCACGCCTAGAGATCCATAACTTTTTGGGTCTTTTTAGACCTCATTAGTAGACCACATTTGTTAGTTAGCCCAAACTAGCATCCTGCAAAATCCAAGACGGCATTGAAACGCTGTCATGAATATGACGCGAGGCATAACTCAGAAGTGTGATCCTTGCGCCATCTACCATTGCCGCCGAACAACTCTCAGGAGTAAACAAGGAAAACCTGTAAAAAATGATTAACAGGCGATTGGAGGTGCAAATGCATCTGGCTCAACAAACGGGAAAAGCACTTATGCCCAAACTTTGTGTAAAAACAAGGAATAAACACCAAGGAATGTGGCCCAAACTGTCAGTAACAAGGTTGTAAAACACTGCTTTGGTTCACATTATTTTGCGGGGAAAAGAAGGCCTAAAAGTTTGACAATTTTCAGTTAGCGTCAAAAGTTTTAAGCTCTAATGAGTATCAGTTCAAAACTGAGATGCAAAACTGAGTGTTGAACTCAGGCAATTTGAATCGAAATATTAAATTGAGGTCACGCCGAGAGATCTATAACGTTTTGGGTTTTTTTAGACCTCATCAGTAAATATTCATAAATGAGTTCTACTTTTTTCCTCATTCTAGTGCTTGGTGAGTGCATTACGAGTTTTCCCTCTCAGCTTTTATGTGCGGATCATCATCCCCTGTCAAGTGCTAAGGAGCACTTGATATGGAAACAAGATGCACAATTTTTGCCCTGCATTTGTCTATTTTGTTTTCGCAACTCCTTGCGCACAGACATTTATTGCATGCTCAAATGAAAGGCACCCTACTGCCTGTTTTTGTGGCTCCTCTGCCATCCTGCCTAATTTGTCACCTCTTTTCCTCCTGTCCACTCTTTTAATAGCAACGCTTGTTCAGAAGAAAAGAATAACTGATCTCAGAAAGTTGAGGCAAAGGCTTGCTTGCCCATATGCAGTGCGAGAAGGCAAAGGAAGGCAATGCAGAGCAATACTGCAACCTGCTGTTGCTTTTATGTGAATCGCTTTTTATGTAAGCTTTTGAACAGAAAACATAAGATTTTTTCCTTCTAGTGCCCATTTCTACTTGTAGTTCCCATCTCATGCAAAAAACTAAGCTATTAAAGGAACCACTAATCTGTTGTCGCTTTGTTTGCAGAGGATAGCAAGCGAGCAATGGATGAATACATCTCAGAAATCATGATGGGCGGTCACAACACTTTGGTGATTCACAATACGTGCGAAGATTCATTGTTAGCCGCTCCCATCATGTTGGATTTGGTTATTTTGACGGAACTCTGCACAAGGATTCAGTTCAAATCCCCAGGATGCCCAACCTACTCGTCTTTTGATACGGTCCTATCAGTGCTGAGTTACCTGTGCAAGGCTCCTCTTGTGCCGCAAGGTAAACTACTTTTTTCCTTCCCTGTTACGAGCAACATGGAGCAATGGAGAATTCTTATGTGTTGAAATTTAATAAATTTCTTTATTAAGTGAAAACTTCAAGGTGACCTGAGCATAGGAACATCCTCCAGTTTGGAATTGCATGAATATCAAAGAAAATATCAATGGTTAATATAAAAAAGTGCATTTCTCCAATGGCAACAATACAAATCCCTGCTTGTGTTTTATATGTTAAAAGACCCACTGTTTTTCTTGAAATTTTCTGTAAATTTTTATCTCTTATTCAAGTTTTTTCATCAAAAATTTCATGGATTTATTAGGATGGGTTCTCTTTGAACCATTCTGCATGCCATATCACAAGCAAGGGTAAGACCATGAATATTTTAGAAAAAATGAGCTCAAGTTGAATTAAGGAGCATAACTGGCTTGAGAAGTGTTTCCTCCTATTCATTTAAGGACAAAGGAAACATACTAAAATGTGATGTAAACTATGAGAACCTGACCGGCAACAAGGAAATGACGGTTGGTTCATTGTGAATGACAAAAAATTATTCTGAACTTGTACTTGGCCTATTTGTAAGGAAATGTATATGGATAATAAAACAAATGCTTCAACTGGCGAGTGTGAAACTCCTTTAAAACATTTGTTTTTACTTTGAATAAGCTTTGATTACTTATTCTTTTCAAATCAATCAGCCCGATTTGAAAGCAGCCAGTGGTTTTTTTTTGTATTTTTCAAGAAGATAGCCCAATGGTCCATACAGAAAATGATTTTCATGGCATTTTAAATCTCTTTAACTAGGTGAATAGTGATAATTAAAATTGTAGCTTTGAAATGTAATCATTCTTCATTTTCCATTTATTATGTTTATATTTCAGGTGCACCCGTCATCAATTCTCTTTACCGTCAGCGTTCCTGTATTGAAAACCTCCTAAAAGCTTGTGTTGGCCTACCTCCAGAGGATAACCTCAACTTTGAACATCGATTGCCAAAATCTATGTTTTGTATGTTTTCTTCAGATGTTGCATGCCCAAAACAGAGTTCGAAGAATTATATCAACGGGGATGCACTTCTGAGCTGCGGACTGAACAAATAAGTATTTTGTTACTATTTACATTACAAACAATGCTCTTGAGTATTCCTCACTGAATCAAACTGGTTAATGTGATCAAGTAAAGAGGAAAAATATATTTTCTGCATACCTATTATTATATCAATCCCACCTGTGTAAATTGAAGTTCCTGAGCAAGTATTTAAGTGTAAACGAAAACGTATTTAAGGACCCCTCAGATTTTGGGAAATATCATTTGTACCTAATTCACCTTAAAGTTTTGTCTGCCTCCTTCCTCCCCCCATCCCCTTTATAAGAACATTTGAGGCTACAAATCTGAGACACATCTTCTCCCACAATTCATTAAATCTGGTCAATTTCTAGCACCACCAAAAAATTGTTACTGATGAGATGAACTAGTGAAATTCTTCCTTTCTCTATGTCTTTTTTTTCATCCCAGTGCATCTGGGAAGACTCGGGAAAGAGAGTCAAACTTTCTCATTTTCTAACTTTAAGCATATCGACAGCGTAAGTTTGCAGGTGTTTGAAAATCTCCGCCTCCATATTATTTTTTTGAAGGGAAACAAATTGACATCATTTCTTGAAGTTTTTGCAGAATTTTCTTCGCACAAAGAAGAAAAATCTTGGCCGTCTTAAAGAATTGCTGTTGAGTAGTTTTCTGTTACAAAGTGAAGTATGACAGGAAGTCTGCGACGTCACAAACGGAGATACATTGGTGCGGACTTACACCGTCGATATGTGTGTGGAGTTGAAGTATTATGTCATCACATTGTACTTCCGATTCAAAATTGATTTAATGGATCTGGGGTGCAAGAATCTAGCATCTTTTGCTACTACTAAACTTTCTAGAAAGAGTTATGAAACAGATGCAGAGAGATATGAAAAAGATATGTCCACCAGAACGAAAATATCTGCTTGTTTTCAGACCCAATATTTTGATCGGAGGAAGACATTTCCTCAAAAAAAAAGACAGTAGCTTCTTTATTATTTCATTTCAAATCCATGAAGCAGGTCATATACGAAAGCTTTTACTCCTTCTTTTCACCAAAAAATATTGATCACAAGCAAATGTTTGTTTTTATATGTTTACATCCATACCTCATTTTCCTCTTCTAGGGTTCCTTTATTTGAAGTGTATTAACTTTCGCAGACTTGTTAAGAATGGACCACTAGACAAGGTACGAATTTAAGCAATCTGATACATGTTTCTTAACCAGAATTTCACGTAGAACACGATTCGCGCAACGAAAATTACTGAAACCAGCTCCTGATGAAGATATTAATCTTTTTATTTCACATTGGTTACGCGGATTTTGAACTGCCCGCTCACAAGAAACTCAAAGCTCATGAAGCTCGAAAGCTCTCCAAGCTCGTGAGTCAAATCGCGCACCACAACAGTTTCAGCTAGCCTATCAATCGATCACTGTTCATAACCCACCATGTGTTGTTCAAATTATAAGCAATTTGCTATAGCTGAGCCCAAGCGTCAAAATTGAGGTTGCCAGATTTTTATATCGCAAAGACTGTCATGATAATGTTCAGCGTGCGATGTGAATCACGTAGTGCATTGAGTTTTAATGAGCGGGTGGTTTGAATTCTTGCATCAGGAATCATTTAATATCATTGTAAGGAGTTGATTTCGGTAATTTTTGTTGTGCGCATCGTGTTTTACGTGAAATTTTGGTTAAAAAATATGTATCAGAATGCTTAGATTCGTACCTTGTCTAGTGGTCCATTTGAATACTAGAATGCATTGAAATCCCCGCTTTTCAAGTTCTTAAATTCATAAAAATATACAATATTTTTATGAATTTAAAAGCATTTATATGCATTTAAAAGCTCATCAGGTCAAAGCATTCAACTATTTCCGAAAGGTTTGCACGTAAAAAGAAAGCATTTCATATATTATAATTAGCATAGCTTATTATTCATTGTTGTAGATTTCCGTAGTTGATTGTTTTTCAATTATTTGTTACTGTTGCAATGAAGAATTATGAAAATATTGTAAAGTTGATGGTGCTGCACTCAGTAAGTCAAGTGTATGCAATTTATTCCTTTTGAAGACTTCTTAGCAGAGTTGTAGTTTTGTTATATTCTTTGTCTCCTTGCTGTTACCTCTGACTGTTTCAAATTACTATCTAATCCATACCTCTACCATGCTAAGTCAGTCTGCAGTGATAGTAGGATTTCCAACTTACAGTGAAACGCAAATGTAGTATGTTTAATGCATGAAGACCTATAAGGAGGTTGCAACTTAATCTGTAATCATTGACATTAATGTCTCAAATTTGGTTTACACGTAATGAGAATCTGAATTCTTGGAAACAAGCAGAATTATATTCTGCAAATAGTGGACTTCCGACAGAATATGGATTTACTGCTCCTTGACTTAGCATAGCTGATTATTCCTGGCTCAGTTAGCTCCATCCAGTTTCTTTTCCTCGCAAGTTTTCTGTTCTCTTCTCTTTACCTTGTTTATTTTTTAATTTGAAAAGAAATAGTCATGGGCTGGTTGTTGGGACTTAAAAATGTTTTGTTATTGGCTCTGTAGATTCATTCACTTGGAGAAGATTCAAGAAATACCTGTTTTGATTAGCGAGTTAAATGCGCTGCATTTAGCCTTTAGAAACTTTAAAAAAGGTTCTTCCCAGAACCTCTCATGCATAATTTTGTTTGTTCTGGTATTTTGAAAAGTGCTCAGCCTATATCTCTTAAATTTTTTTATGAAATTCAAGTCTATGTGATAGCATTTCAATTAGATCTCTGAAGTGTATATATCGTTTTCCTGTACATTACAAAAATCCTCTTTTAACCATAAACGTGTATCTGTTGGTAAACTCAAGATCTGAAAAATTTTCCTGTCTTGTTTCTCTCATTTATTACTTACTCGTAGTAGTCGTAGTGTAATACGGGTGTGCTCATTTACCCCTGAAGCTTTCAGAATTTTCTCCCTATTCTAAAGATCATTCTTGCAAAATGTGACTGCTCCCAATACCCCTTTCCTGTCTGTGAAAAATTTAACGATCAATTTATTAAAATTCGATTTTCTCAAATTCAGATCTCAACAATGATCATTTGCAAAGTAGCAATGTAAGTATGTGATAATGCAGATCGATTGAAGGGCTCAGTGCATGACATTGTTTATCTAATTGTTTACAAGGTCTGTTCAATTAGAAACCGGATTTTGGCAATAAGTAGCCCTGTGTACGTCCCAATCAGGCTTTCTTGAGCTGTACTGAAAGCTGATATTATGCAGAACACCACATTCACAAATTTGAAAAATTCAAACGGGCTTTGTTGGTACATGGTTCGGAATAAGACAACCTCACTAGTGTTCTGCGATTCTTTAGGAATTCCTGCCGAAAAGTAATCACTTGCTCACAGTTATTGTTTTTAGTAGTCGGTTCAAACTAAAATTGTCATTTGTTGCTGATTAAAGATTAATTTTCCATCTTGATTGACCTTTTTCAAAACAATCCCTACCAACAACAGATGAAGGATAATTATTTCATTAAGCTGCATGCAATCCATGCAAAGGAGTTCGAAACTATTTTTTTCTTTTTTTTTTGCAGTTCAAGCGGGATTGGCAGAAATGCATTGATGTCTGCGAAAGTTTTTTCGAAGGAGATAATTCAATAGCACCAAAATTATGGGTATTTAATCTTTAACAACACATGACAATTTTCATTTAAATTAGCTACCAAAATAAATGACTGTGAGCAAGCAACAACTTTTTAGCAGGAATTCCTAAAAAATCGTAGAACACAGATGAGTTTATGTCTTGCTCGGAACCGTATATCAACGAAGCTAGTTTGAATTTTTGAAATTTGTGAATGTAACATTCTTCTGTAAGTTATCAGCTTTCAGGAAAGTCCTAGAAAGTCTGATTCGAACGTACAGTGGGCTACTTATCAACAAAATCCAGTTTCTAATTGAATATACAATGTATGGTTTCAAAGAAACTATCAAAATTACAAGTAAAGAGAACCTGCGAATCTTGCAGACAACAAGTAAAGGGCCTGGATGCTACAAATAACTTTAAATTGGGCTTTGTAAGACTATGAATTGAGCTGTGACTGTCCGTTTTTCAAAAGTAATTTTAAAGAGAGATGTGCTTGCCTTCAAATAATTGATTACTCAATTGTTTTTGAAAATCTTTCAGCATAACCTTGAACTGAACCCTTCGATTGATCGTAACTTTCTCAAAATCTCACCATTTTACTTTAAGTTTTTTTGTGAATTTTATTGTACCTATGATAGGGTAATTAGATTTTTACAACAAATTTTCTGTAAAGAAGTCATGCTTTTTCATCCATTGAAATCAGCATGTCAATGTTAGAATGAGCTATGCTCTTTCAAAATGATTTTGTTGTGTTTCATTCATGTGTCATGATTTTTTCCCCCTTATTTGCAGTCAGTAGTAGCTGTAGATTTATTATGTAGTAGTGTTAACTCCTGTGCAATTGTTTGCACACATGATTTATTCTTGTACTAGTCATTACGTATTCTAGTACTTATATTAGTAGTGCATATACTAGTCAGAATCTTGCACCTATAGCTCAGGTACTTTACTCAAACATACAGGGTGTTCCAACAGCACTTTTAAGATTCTAATTCAATTAAACTATCAAAGAACTATTTATCAAACAAGATCCTGGTAAATTACTCATTGAATGATGTACAAATCCTCCTCTGTAAGCTGTACTGATTCATTTTTTTCAAGGCAGGCGTAAAGTAAATTTGAAACACCTCTCCTATGTTTAACGTGTTTCTTTATGCTTACATAAATATGGAATGTCCGAAAAGTCCCTGACCCCCTCTCTAACGGTTGAACTTTTCAGCATTAGAAGTACTTTCAGGAGAAGGACGGCAAGATCCCTATCAATCCATGCGGAGAGCGATTCTAGGTACTGCTGCAAGTAAAAACTGTAATGAACTGTCTTCCTTGAGGGGGAGATGTCATCTCTCTTGAGGCAGAAGTGAACACTTCTTTCCGTAAACCTGACAGTCAGACCTGACAGAGTCAAATCCGACAAGACCTAACAGAGTCAGGTCAAAACCTGACAGAGTCAAATCCGGTGAAAGAGATTGGAAGTGCGCACTGCTCATCTCTAGATCTCACCCCTTCCCTGTTGAAAGCAATAGAGTTTTGCTGAAGAAAGATCCAGACAGAGGGAGTGGGTTCCAACCTCCGAAATTACCTGGGGCTTTACCAGGTGACACACCTTCCAGAAGCTGTTAACTTTTGTCTTGAGAGAACTGGACTGCTTCTGGTAAGAAAGACAGGTTGCCCCAGTTTGTCACAGAGGGAGAGCCTAAAATCTCTCTCAGCATAAATTGATCGAGTTTTTTAACAAATTTCACCGAAACCTCTAGCTCTGCATAGACGTTTGCTGCCTCGTCAGCTTTTTTTGCCGCTTTGTAAACGAGGCTTGTGATTTTACGAATATACGCCCGTTTTGAACTATGACCAAAACTCAAACAAACAACTCAAGAACAAATAATTACTGTGGTCTCCAGTTTTTGTCATTAATTCTCGGTTTTAGTATCATAAAGGGAGGGGTTATTGCTTGAAAACTTTGACTTCTCCCAAAAATTTGGACCCGTGGCTACCTTTAAAATTTCTTGTTAAGATCTGCATGTGTTCTTAAGTCAGAGGGATTTTTTTTTTTTTTTTTTTTGGGGGGGGGGGAGGAACTGTTCACTTTTTGAAGACTGCATCTCAAAATCAAGTCATGGAGGAAGTATTACATCGGTCTTTTTTCTGAAGAATTTACTTTTTAAGGTAATCATTTATCAGTGTTGTAAAAGAAAGTTCCAATTTGCAAGACATTTTTAGATGCAAGAATGGTGAAGAAATATTGAGGGAATCTTCAGTCGAGCGGCATTCTTTGGCACTTTAGTAAGTACACGATACAAAGCACTGAAGTACAAGTACTACTTTTTACAAAGTGGTTCTAGTCCTAAACCTTCAACAGCAGTAGACTTTAACCATATTGTTGCTTTAGACACTTTTTAGAGACCAGAATCTATCACTCAATAAAGAAATATCAATGTCTTACTCTAACCTGGACATTTTCAGTGTCAGCCTCATTGCTGAGGCATAAAAGTTTCATTCCAACATGGAAGAACAGATCGGTATGTTATTATCATGTAGTAACCAACTATTTTTAATCATTACTTTCCTCCCTGTAAAAAGTCAAGTTACATATCGCAGGGTAGCATAATATTTGTTCGATCTCACTACTAATTTCTTCCTAGTGATTCTTGCCTATAAGAACAAAATTGTTTCTCCCACAAATTTGATTATTCCCTTTAGATCCTTTTCGTGCTGCAAGTCAATAATTACGAACTGGCAACATATAAAAACAGCATTGTGTATTTTCAAAGTCATACTATGAAGAACTAAGTTCTTTGCATTCTTTCTCTTCACTTACTTGCATCAAAGGGATCAGTGTAACCATGCATTTATAGCTCTATTTTCCTACCTGACAAATTTATTTTTTATGCCTACCTATTCTTGTTTGTGAAAAAAGTAAGAAACATTTGTGGAATTTTTTAATAAATTCATGTTTCTTCACAGTTTTGTTTTATCTCAATTTATTTGAAAAGAAAAACGTCATCCTAACTGGTCCTTTCGAATTTTTTGGATTTTCGGAAGAAAATACACTATTACATTCGCCCATGGTGTCGGACGCAGACCTGAGACATTGTGAAGAACATCAATCACGGGTCGTAGATCACGAAAATATGTGCCATTCAAATTCATAAGTTTGTATATATGTATGTATCTATTTCTGCCTTTTTAAGATTTTTCGATTTTTGAGTAGTTAAATCTTTCTTCCTGTGAAAGATATTTTGACCCTTTTTTTTTGCATTTTGTAGAACCTCATTAGAGCTACTATTCTGCGAAAAAAAATGGAAATTTGAGGCAATAGATTTTGAGGGGTGGGGCTCGAAAGTGGGGGGAGGTCAAATCTTGTCCACTCGATAACTCAAGCGAAAATGAATATTTTGAGCAGAAATTTGTTTATTAATTCATTTCAGTAGTCTTGCCTCTGAAATAAAATAGGCTAGGAATAAACCAAGAACTCATGAAAAAAGCATTAAAAAAAAAAAAAAATTCTCTCACGAACGTTCAACTAGAATCAGTCTAACTACATTTCATGTCGCATAATTTCTTTTCGTATTTCATTTTATTTTTTTGAAACAAAAACTCTTTGGAAACTGTTCGTGACTGTAATTTTGATGATCTGGACAAAATATACTTATTAAATTTGAAGCCAAAATGACAGATGACTCTCTTGTAAAAATAGTGCACGAAAGGATGTAGGACAATAACTCTTTTTAATGAGGATTGCACAAAAATAATGTTAACTGTTGATTTTAGTGACGACCCATTTGCACAATTATACTGGATGAGTTTTGAGAGCACATTCCTTATCTGCAATTACCTGCAAAAGTAGTCTTGGGTAATCACTAAAGCAGAGGAGAGACCCTCGAAACATGTTCTACATGAAAGTAATTATGCTAGAGAGCCTTTAAGAGATAATATAATAAATAAGTTAGACAATGTCTGATGTAGCTGGGCAGATGCTGGGTCGTCTATTGCATTGCTGTCAAGTGAAACTCGGTGGCAAGCTACTTTCTTCCTACTCTTCAGTCTACTGTCACCGTTGTTACCATGGATTTGGTAGACAAGTGCAACAAACTTGCTAGACAAGTTGGAAAACACAGGAGCATTTACCAGATATTTCAAATGGATCTACAATTCCAAGTCTGTGCTTAATGGTCTAAAATTTACCAAAGAGGTTTCCTCAGAAAATCAGAGGGTATAAGCGACGAAAAAATTCAAGTTTGGATTCAATTTGATTAAGTTTTATTCAACAATAAAAAAAGAGAGCAAATTTGAAAGTTTATTAAAAAAAATAGCCAGCAGCACCTTAAAACAGCAGGCAAATTTATGTTTCCCGAAGAAGTTGAGAAATTATTTTTGCACAATTCACCGAGCATTATAAAAAATCTAATATTACTATTTGAACAAAATAAAATTTAAGTCCTATTTCGGGCTTACATTTAGCACAGAACAGATGCTTTATACTATATATACCAATTTAGGTATTGTGGGAAAAAATGTTAATGACAAAAGTTACCCTGCGTTTGTACCAAAAAATCACAGATACACAATAAACTTATCAGTAAACAGCGTATAAAATAAAATTGTGTCTAATTTGTCTTTTCAAAGGGCTTGAATGAAGTCTTAGCGCATTGGAACATGTCATTTTCAAAATAAAGTATAAAGTCTTCCTTTGGTGAAGTATTTTAATTTCTACTTCTAGGGCATAAGATTTAACTGGGCAGTGTCTTACTTTTTTTTTTTTCAATACTGCCATTCCTCCTTCACAGCTGAACATCACAGTTTGGTGCAAAAGTTATGAAGGGTCTCACTGGCTTGACAGTAGATCATTACAAGAAACCATTGCAACAAATTGTTAGTTCAACAAATTATTCCATTCACTAGGGCAAGCTTGTTGAACCTAAAATAGCTAACAACAAGCTTAGTTCGTGATTCAAACGATGTAATTGCTTAGAGCTAAAAGGATGAGCTGCTTTTAAAATGCATTTGATTTGGTTATAGAAAAATGAAAATTAGCGAATAAAAAAAACCCTTCACTTTTGGTTTCCATTGGCAGCTGGAACTGTGAAACCTTTCTTCTCCATCCATTGGTTGGAGACAAATTTGGTCATGTAGTTTCTGACATTGTCAGGCAACACAACGACGCACCTTTGATCCTCTCTCAGGGATTTTGCGGCTTGAATTGCGCCCCACAAATTGGAGCCACTGCTTCCGCCTATGAGTGAACAAAAAATTTCAAAATTACTGAAAATATTTTTGAGCATACGGTATTCCTCAGTGAAATCTCTGATCTTCATCGAGATTGATATTAATAATTGTAAAAATCCTGGACGGAAAGTCAAGGAATTCAGAGCCAGTTTTTGTTATCATTTGATATGGTGTTCCTCACCACCTTCTAGACACAATCAAAATCAAACTTTCAGTACACCACTTTTGATGAAAGCATGGCTGAAACAAGAATTTTCACAAGCATTATCCGGTGGAAACATTGGTGATCGAGGAGAGCTCTTCTTTTCTTGACGCACACTGGCCAAGGAGATGAGGTTGACTGCTTTTGAAGACAAGGCTTCAAATATCCAGCAGCAGTACCACATCTTCATGACTTGCACACGACAATACAGTTTTTCTTAGGTGCTTGCAATCAGGTTTGTCCGGAGAGAGGCGTGTGAAAATCTAATCTGAATAAACAAACAATCTCACTAAATGTTCCACATTTGTCTTGAATGCGAGGCTTATCGATTTAAGACATTTGCTTTACAAGCATAATGAATGACTAGGGAGGAAACAAACGCTTTGAAATTATTAGAGCCATGCGTGAAAAACAGTTGATAAGATTATTTGTTTATTTTGATTGGGTTTTCCTGCGTCTCTCACTGGGAAAACCTTGCTACCGGCAACTAAAAAAAACTATTGGTAGATGCAGTAAATTTGAAAAATTACAATATGCGTTGTGCAAATTCAGCTTAAAATGGTGGATGATAGGAAATTTTTGAAGTCCTCGGAGTAATTTTTGTGCCATTTTACTGTGAGGAAGTGCACTTAGTTGACTGCATCCCTTAAGAGCAAAACACTCATTAAAAATGGACAGCTGACTTTTAAACATTGTATTCAAGAGCCAAATCACATTCTTAGGCACAATATTTGTGAATCACAAGTCTTTGTTAAAGTAGACACTGTACTGCCGTGATAGTAAAGAGAGCAGTAACTGTCAAATTTTCGAAATCGAGTTTCCTTCAAAATTCGTCTGATCTCTTTAAGATGAAATCACTGAGATAGCTAGAACAGCAAAATTTATTTTATAAAAATGAGACATATGAGAAAGCCGTAAAAGCACAAAAAATGAATCGGTTCAGACTGAACAGCAGTAAGTGACATTATTCCTCCAGGGAGCCAATGAAACAGTGCTTTCAAGTAAAATGCCGGCCTCTTCTGCCGATTTCTTACCTGAGAATGTGTTTTTTTGTGTGTCCAAAAACGCAACTATAAAAACATGCAGAAGACAGCACTTACAGCCACCTTGCTTAACACTAGCCTAACATGAAAATGAATAATACCATTTTTGTGTACATACTTTAAATAAAATCGGTAAAGTCATAGTCATCCAAACAATTTCTACAAGAATGGAGGCTTCTTTCAGTAAAATTTTCCGCTTAGACACTTCTGAGCCCATTTTCTCAAAACTTCAGTTTCGCCAGAGTGTCTACAAAAAGATAGGCTGGCCGAAAATCAGTACTTTTACAGTTTCAGTACGTTCCCAAGAAATTCAGTACCTCCTCAACAAAAAAATTCAATACTTCTATTTGACGAAATTCGATTCATTTCGAAAATTTGATTTTCTTGCTCGAATTGCGACAAAAATGACGTGGCCACAAAATACATTTCCAGGCTTGAAGCTTAACTGACCGCACAATCGCGATCCTGCAGGCAAATATTACTCTAAAAATAGCTTGCATACTTTTCAGGTTTTATTAAAAAACACAAAAAAAAAACATGTGGTATGAAGGAAAAAATTCCGGACCTTCTTGCGGAATGTCCGCACTTTTTCAGTACTTCCGGACTGCCTCTAAAAAATCAGCACTGTTTCCGGACTAGTAGACACCCTAGTTTTGCACTTATGGCTTTAACCCAATAATAATAAAAAAATATTTACCGCAAAGTAAACCTTCTTCTCTTATTAACCTTCTCGCCATGGGAAGAGAGTCCTTATCATGAGTTTTGATCCACTTATCTACAACACTCCTGTCTGAAACCAGAAAACATCAAGATGTTGTAACTTTTAAAAAAATATCTACACCACTTGGGTCTATCAAGTAAATATTGAACCCATGAGACACTCTTTGAATAGAAAGGATAGCCCTATGAAAGGATTTGGAGATGCTCATGAATGAGTTGGAGATTTTTCAAGATTTCATTCCAACGTAGTCGGTTTTTCTCAGTTGGTGCTTGCTATTTTCACAGCAACATCTTGCTGACGTTTGGCTTTTCTCCCTCTAATTTCCTTTTCCCCAATTTATCCAAAAGATGGGTGTCCTTGCCTATTCTTCATTTGGAAGTCTAACTAAATGTCTTGCTACTCTTGATACTCATGAGCGTAATCTACAAATACAAATTATATAGTCTTGATTTTGCCACCATTTTGTCCATAATTTCCTAAGTCGCTTTTACAGCGCGCCTGGACGCTCTGCGACACCTAATTGCCATTCTTGTCTGTCCACCCAGAGGTCATCTGGTAAATGGCATCTTGTAATTTCATTTTGAATGCCACCTATCCACGATTTTGCGGGACATCCCTTGCGTCTCCTCCCAACAGTCACTTATCCAACTTCAAATTATATCCCCCTTTTCTTTCTGTTGTGCTACATGAGCACATGGACTACTCAATTTACCTGCAGTTGAGATTTTTAAAAATACTTGCAAATCTAAACTTTGACAAAGCTTTGGGGGGGGGAAAATCAGGAAATACAATTTGGGCTAGCTACTTGGCATGGTTCATGCAGATCTGAAAAGGTAAACTTTAAGCCCTTCAAAATAATGTTTTGCAAATTTTTTAGTATGATACAGGGTATCCTGAGATTGGAAGAATCAAGTAAAATTACAACTTTTGAGAAAAATTGAACAATTCTGCTGATATAAACGATTTTTTAAATAATTCATACCATCAGCACAAGCATGTTCTAACTCTTCATGGTGCCACAGTCTGTTTAGGATCTCTATCATGATCTATACTAAGTAACAATCGTACAACATGTTTAGATTACCCATCCTAAATTACCAATACATATTGTGAAACTCTTTTGATTGGAAAAAATGGAAGTATCAGGAATGAAAGTGTGCTCACCCAAGACAGTCGGAATGAAATCATACCCGATTCCTTCCACTTCATACACAGAAATATCTGTCTCGTTCAAACTTTCTGGTTGAGCTAGAATAGACCCAAGAGGGTCAACTCCAACAACAATGCAATTAGGGCACTTCTCTTTCATTCGCCGACCAATACCACAAATGGTGCCTCCAGTTCCTGCTCCTACAACCACCATATCCACGCGACCACCACAAGCTTCGATGATTTCATCAGCAGTAGTTTCATAGTGAGCTAATGGATTTCCAGGATGAAGATACTGCAATGAAAAGAGCAAATTTTATCAACCCTGGAGCTCAAAAGGATTATTGCTTGTATTTTAAAAATTACAGTAAACAATACGTAAAATATGTATTATGAATGGGCTAATATTGCTGATTTTGATCCCTTGCTCCGTAATTACATTTCATTGACAAAGATTTATGAATGCTATTCTGAAAGTATTGTCCAAAAGAATTAGAAAACCTTAACCTCAATTGAAAGGCTAGGATTTCTAACAAGTATAATGTAATTTATAGAAAAATGTGAGCTATATGTTTACGGTGCGTTAAACAGAGGGGATAAAAATTTGAAAATGTGAATAGAATTATTCTTGGTATGCTTTCTACCGAGAACCTAACTGTACAATATGATAAAAGGCAGGCAATTGAAACTTTTTAATTTTAATGACTCTGACCTGATTTAAAATTACAGAGTTAGGTGTTTCTCTCTGAATTTTGTGGGCAACACCAATTAATCCTTCCTCTGAATCAAATGATGCTTCTGTTGGAGTACGAACAATCTCTGCTCCAAGCGCTTTGAGGGTGTTCACTTTTTCATCGGACATTTTCAGTGGCATTACAATTATGCAGTGATAGCCTTTTACTGCAGCTGCCATTGCTAAGGCAATACCTGAAAAACAGAGAAAAAACTAAAAATTTAAAACTATGTACAAAAAAGTTAGCGAGAGACTACAATTTGAAAAAATATAATGATATTCGAACGGAAAAGAAAAATTATGTATTGGATGGAAAACATAAGTCAGTGTTGCATAAAGGAATTCTGTATGTTATAAATATGTACCCTGTATATTAATGAAAAATCTGGCTATTTCATGTATCACACAGACTTTATTCTGTAAGAGCACTAAGCTGAAGAAGTAATGTTACATCATATTTTTGTTTTTTGTTAAAATGAGATTTAAAATGTATAACTGAATGTTTTTAAGCGTCTGAAAGTCATAGTTAGGACCTTTGGAGAGCAGTTTTTTTAATCAGAATTTGGAAAAAGTTGCAGAGAAAAAAAGTTAATAAAACGGCAGGATGTGAAAAAAAAAAAAAAAAAAAAAACATTTTAACTCACCAGTATTACCAGAAGACGGTTCAATTATAGTATAACCAGGTTTCAGAACACCATTTTTTTCAGCTTCTTCGATCATTCTATAACCGATTCTGTCCTTAACGCTTCCACCAGGATTCAAATATTCACACTTGGCAACTGAGAAAAGAGGAAAACTTGATAATTAGTTGTCACTCTATGCCATGAACTTGCAGCTTGTAACTTTTAGTTGCTTGATCAATTGATCATGGATATTTTAGACAGATGTATACTCAGTTTCTTTTCGAAAATTGCTACATCATCTTTAAGGAATAGCAGGCTTTACGCTCCGAGATAGGCAGACCAACGAGTCAATTCGCGAAGAGTGCCAAATTCAAGATATTGCCAAATGGACCAAGATGCGCCGGAAAATGTGGTCGGAACATGTTGAGAGGATGGAGGGGGAAAGGCTTGCCAAGATTTGTATGGTAGGACGACCTCATAGCCAAAGGCAACCCGGACGACCGCCCAAGAGATGGGCACAGAGCTGCCTTTCATCCCCGGAGAATTAAGTGATCTCTCTCATCGGCATCATATTACTGTTTTAGAGGCTAGACAAACAGGGTCACGGCCCTAGTCAGAAAGCAGAAGAAGAAGAAGAAGATCTTTAAGGATTGAGAGAACTTTTCAAAGGAATGGAAAATGGAGTGTTCTGAATTGAGCGTTCCACTCATAAATGGATAGATCCTTTACACTCTCTGTTCTAATGATCACTAGTTCGTAATGACTCCACATGAGGAAGAAGCAGATTACTTGATGTGCAAGTTTGTAGAATATGAGAAATGGGGCTCGGACATAGGTAAGTCCAAGGCAGAGAAGCTGGTTGTGGGTTGTCGATGCTTTTAAACCCTCCCTCCAAACACATTGAATCACGTAGATCGTGCATCCAGTTCCGTTTTGTAAGGGCAAAGCGTGACAAGATTCTCAGAACTCTATGATGGGAGGGGGAGAGAGCCGGTGTCCCAAGCACTCAAAGACACTGCAGAGAAGCAATGGAGAATTCATTTGCACAAAAAAGCTTCTCAAACCGACAAATTTTCATTGAGGCAGCAACTGGGCATGCGCAGCTGTGCGCATTCGGAACACATGAACTCATCGATGTGAGGTCGGTGCGCCATGTGAATTTTTTAAAGTTGTCACACCTTCCGTAACACAAGATGCACGGTCTACATGATTCAATGTTTTTGTCTCCTTCTAAAATTAGCTTCTCTATCTCGGATATACTGTCCTCCAAACCCATGGTCTTCCAAAATCACTACCTAATCAGCACAGAAAAGAATTACAAAATTATCTGAAGGGACATTCATTGCAGCACACTGTCAGCCTCCTGTGGTGTGGAGTAATAACTGTAGCACTGGTTCCACAATCAGAAGGTCCCAGGTTCGATTCTCGACCAGGCGACACGAGTTCTAAGGTCTCAAGCAGGGTTCACCTGGAGCTAGGTGTAAAATAGGGGAGTGGGGATCGAACATGGGATTAGCCTCAAAAGGCTACTCAAAAAGTGGTACCCACCTTCCTTTAAAAATTTTTGATTTGCGTTTTTCGTGGTATTCCCATTATATTATGAAAAGTAGGAACCTATTAAAGATGCACTTTAATGAAAAATATTGCAGAATTCAGGATCCGAAAAAAAAAAAAATTGTGAGCTCTTCCTGTTAGATTAAATTCACTTATTGGAAAATACTTCCGAAGAGTTTGTCAAGCGAATCTTTCGAATCAATAAAAGGGAAAAGAGGTTAACGATAAGTAAGAAATTAGATTTATAAGTACTTATCATGATTGCTAAATATAATGAAAAGACATAACATATATAATGAACAATAAATAACTTACTCATTTCACATTTAACACCTTCAGACTGTGGTATTCTGTTCAGGCGAACACAAGGCGTGCTACCAATAGCATGTAAGATGTTGGGTAAGACTCCATTTTTGTTGGTTCTAGAGCAGAAAAAACAGGGCATCTAATTCTATTGCATGTGATGAGGTGAAAAAATTCTCTCAGGAGTCAAAGAAGAGAGAATATACATGCAAAAATCAAGCTTGTCAATTTTCCAGAAATAACGAGTAAATCCTGATGAGCATTGCCAAAATCCTTACAGGCTGGTCAAAATTCCATCTTCTCTCACCCACTTTAAAATACAAAACTGAGCTTTTCTACTGCATGTACATTGTTTTTGAAATATGCAGAAGAGTGATTTAAAATGTTGAAATCATTCGAATATTTTCCATCTTTTGCGCATGCGAGAGCAAAGCCGACCAAATAGCAAAAACACAAGTGTGCATTTTTCTTATAGCTTCTTCTTACAGACATCCTCTTTCTGAGTAAACAGCTTCTAAAAAACCCATGCAAACGAATAATTAAAGATCAGAAGTAACATGTTATATTATTTGGGATACTTTTCGGTTCACAGGAATATATACCTACGTATTTGATGAGGGGAAACAAGTTTTCGGGTTGCATTACACAACACCCTGCTTCTACTATTCTTCTAACTTCTACTATTTGATTTTGAGTCTTTATTATTTGCAAATTTTGAATTAAATGCTCTTCAGTCAATTAAACCGTCTAAGAATGCGTTCTTCCCAATGATTTTCCAATCATATTTTCATCTCATTTAGATTGCATTCAGCATTATAGATTCTAGGGCAACAAGGCATTCACTCCTGGTCAATAATCAGTGATAATATTCTCAATGGCTGTTGATACAAAAGGAGTTCAGTGTCAACTTGTCACAAAGCCTTGCTTCCCCAGTAAGTAAATTATTTCCGTTTATGTGTTCGGATGGACTCACAAATAATGCCATTAGGAGAGCTGACAACTAATTCTCACACTGTCGTGCTCAATTAAAGAAAAGTAAATCCATATTTGCCCACAAATCCCTTAATTGCAAAAAATAATTCTCCTCATCTCAAAGCATAAGTTATAACATTAAAGCCAGAATTAAAAAAATTTTCTCCAATGATTGAGAATAAAGTTGCGACCTCTCCTTAAGACTCCTCTAACATTCTACATTTGCGTTTTACTGCAAGTTGAAAATCTTGCGTTACTGCTGGCTTAGTTAGCACAACAGCATTGTAGAGAACATCAATGTTCAGAAGAGAGTGTGCAGAGGTAAAGTCTTTTTTTATCTTTTCTATCTTTTAAATTATGTTATTTTTTTTTTATTAATTTTGAAATTAAAATAAAAGAAACTGATGTTTTATAGGACTTTATAGGACTCGTCTGTAAGTGAGAGCAAGAAGGGAAAATGAAATTTTGAAAACTCGAGTGATGAAAAGAGATTGACCAATAATTTTGTATTGATGAAACATCAAGGCTCACATAACTTCAATACTATATCTTTACAAGTATTGAAGCGAAAAAAACAGAAGTTCTCTAAAAAACCAAGTATCGACAGAATTTCAACAGAACTCGACAATAAGGAGGACTATAAAATTGAAAATCAAAAAAAGAACATTAGACGTTAAATTTTTTTTAGGAATGGTAGGTTGTAAACGAATGGGCAGAGGAAGTCTTCTTCTTTTTTGCTTTCTTCAGTTGATCAGCTTTGATTTTCTCCAGGTCTTCTTTATTTTTTGGAACGCCTTCATCTTCGCCTTCAGAAGAGGAATCTAAACGTAAAAGGTTATCATCTTCGGCACTTTCTGCTTGCATCATTTTTGGTTTGGTGAGATTCGGGACCCTGGGCCTTCTTTTGTGCAGCATTCTTTTAACTTTAGAATCTGCTTCATTTTCTAAGCTTTTAGTATTCTGATTCTGTTTGGCAGACTTTTCAGCACGTCCAAACTTGAGTTTTTTTTTATCAGGTTCACCTCCGACAGCGCTGGCCTTTCTCTTGAGATCATTTTGGTTAGAGTCTTGTTTGCTGGGTTCGGACAATTTCGCTGGTGTAATTTTTCTCTTCGGTTTTGCAGCTTGCCGTTTGCGTGGAGTGGCTTTAGCACTTTTGACTGCTTTGGATACTTTCTTAATCGTAACTTTATTGATTTTAGTCTTTTTGGTTAATTTGTTCTTCTTAACAACTCCTTTAAGTTTCTTTGCTTCAGATGTTTTATTCTTCTTTTTCTTCATAGCCAGTTTATTTTTAAGGGCGCTTGCTCTACGGTTTTTTGGTTTTTCAGCAGCTTTTGCCATATTGGAATCCTTAAAAGCGGTTGAGATTTAGGCACAGCAAAAAAAGGAAGGTTAAGATTAACTAAGATGATTTTCTTCACATTTCAAGATTCAACACATTTTTTAAAACAACAAACAACGAGAAAGATTTAAAACAACTTAAAAGTTGACTTGATATTTCCAAAAGTTTAAAAAGTCTAGAGGACCTGATAATTGCAACTAGATAAAACCAAACTGCCACTTCAAATTTTTCAGTCTGTCTCAGATATAATTTTGCTTGTCAGCTGATGCTGAATACTGTGACTGGAAAATGCTTCATACCTACACAGTAACTATGGAAATGATTTAACTCATTAATGCTAAGATCATATTGAACTATAAACTCAGCTGTGCACAGCTATCCTAAGAGAGCACTAAGTAATCCCAATTTTGACAAAGCTGTGCATAGAGAAAATATTTTCTTTCAGAAGAATGTTATTGGTGAAGGCTTTCTGCAATATAATCTTTAAAATTAAAGATGAAACTGGACCCATTAATAAAAAATCTCAGTATCATCCTTATTTTGGCTGAAAGAGGCTTACTTATATGAGAAAGGACTACTTCTTCCTCTATGTTTGGAGGGTCCATTTGGAAAAATTACCCGTACTCACTTATTTCTCACATATTACGTACGTCCTTGGAAAAGTAATTCCTTGAGGTTTTGATTTTAAAAACTGTCAGAAGAGAGGAAAATCGCCGGATGTGTTTCAATTTGAGCTATTTCTTGCCATGAACTTCAAAATATAACTTTCAATGGGGGGTAGGTAAAGGCTCCTCTAGCCTACCAAGTTGACGTACAAAAACAATCGTGTGCGTAATCCTTTTAAATAAAAGGAAATGAGCTGCCTGCAGCATCCCAAAAATTGTCCACATGAGGGAACGAATGGAGATTATGTTGGTGCGCTGCTATATTTTGATTCCCTAAAAAACTGAGTAAAATTAGGTACCGAAATGTAGCAAATCAATTAAAGTGTTAGGTAACATGCTGATCCTCGGAGTTTGCTGTCTGCACCAAAATACATATACATATTTGTAAACCCTGGCACCAAAAAAGAGATACTTAGAAAGGCTATAAAAAAGAAATAAAATCATAATAAATCAAATAAAATTAAAGATTTGTTACAATTTTCCAACAACTTAAAGAGTAAAATTAAGAGTTATTATATTTTTGAAGAATGTTGGTCAATCTAAGGCAATGCAGCCTGATCTATCTGTATGAACTCCACCAACTTGAAAATTAAAATCTTACCCAGGAATACTGTGATGAGGAGAATCCTTCAGGCTCAAACCTGGGGCCCAGGTACACTTGCTAGGTTTGTTAGGAGTTGGAAAAGAAGGTTTGCCATCTTCTGCGACCATTGTTTTTGACTGTAAGATAAAAGAAACGAGCAAATTAATTAAGTAAAACTGTAATTTTTTTTTATTAAGATTTAAAAAGAATCAATTTTATCCCTAAGGTAAAAGTGCAAAATCTTCCTGATAATGCACCAGGTTCAGCTAAATGGAGGAGCCTTCTGAGAAATGGGAAGGAAGTATAACAATTTCTCTTCATTTATGTTTTTGCAGTATTTTAGGGGTGTTAATAGAATTTTAATGGTGGCAAAAGGTTTTTTGTAATCTATGGCCTTCTTTCTGGGGGAACTTATCATAAATTCTGGTTAAAAAAGGAGGAGGCTGATTGAATTATGGGAAGTAGAAGGTTTGGAGTTGTCTCCTACTCTGCGCCATAGCTGCTTCCACTACAATACTTTGCTAAATTGAGGGTCAAGTGCCTCCCAGGACAAATTTTCTGTCATACAAATATAGGTCAGTGTCTTCACCAACGAAATATTATTACAGGTAAAAAAACTGATCTTCGTGACATTTTATTTAATTTCATTTCAGCTAGCCCCCAAAAGCCAATTTTATTCGGCCACCTCTCGTAACCTAAATTCATCCTTACGGATTTTTCTACCTTAGAATCAATGACAAGCAGAATTGAAGATAGTGTGTATTATTTCTTGCCAGTTGTGTCATTTCTTAGTTTACTAGTATTCCGTGAGTACCAGAACTAATCATGATTGCTGTGCTGAGGAGAAAATGTCTGTGAATTTTCTTTGACAAACCATACTGATTCTGTTGAAAATTAAATGGAAAAATGAAAATGGTTTTCTTTGAAAAAATTGGATATCGTAGGTAGAATAGGTTAGATTAGTGTGTTTTTTCTTGGAAATTTTCATAAGCAGCATATCTCCTCATACGCTATTAAAATTTAAATCTTTGTACTGCAAAAAAAGTTATGCACGATTGATCCAACATGCTAAGGGACAATGCATAATTCCATGCGAGCCAATACTTTTCAAGATAGGCTAAGGCGTTAGACAAAATGAATGATGATGACCACATACTTACAGACCACACTTGAACGATCACACACAAGTAATGTGTAGGTAAAGATAACAGTACTATGAACCTTAAAACATTATCTAATCAAAAAGTGGGACCACATGCCACCTCAGATAAGGGGATTTGAAAAATTTATCTGGTCGATGCAAAGCATTTAAATATTTAACTGGTGCACCTGATGGCTGCGCACAAGCGGTCTGCATTTAAGGCAGTATCTTTAAGTGAGTGCCAGAATGTGAACAGGTAATAAACAGCAGCTCATGGCATTCTTAGCTATTGATATCTTCCTGATGATACGCAGCTTCTTAGCGAAAATACTGGAGTTTTTCATAAATTTTACAATCAAGTTGCCTTTAAAACTTTCATGAAACCTATTTTTTATGCATACCTATTAGATATTTAAGTTTGCTTCCTATTTATTATTTTTACATTCGACAAGTTTTTGTTTTTCCATCCTTGTATCACTCTTATTCCACATTGTGAATCTATTCTCTTTATCTTCATATTCTTGTCTTTTCTTGATGCGGTTGTTTACATTTTCTCCCTCCGCTATGGAATCCGGAAAGACTCACAATTTTTTTGAAGGGAAGGGATATACTTACCTACTAAGTGCAGACTTTCAAAAAATAAAATAAAATCTTTAAATAATTCTCTGTAAATAACAGGACGGAGTGTGATACTTTGGAGGTAAAAAAAGGATCATTGAATACATTTCTTACCATTGTGTCCAATTCATGTGGCACCAAAGTTGAATCATATGTTTAAAACAAGAAACATTAGATTCTGAGAAATGCTCACATCCTTGTCTGAGTGTTGTTTTGCAGAGAGGATATTTTTTTAGACTTGGTATTTATATTATTAAATAGAGATATTCATGGCTGAATTTTTGAACTAAATATCTGACAGAAAAATTTTAAGTAGAAATTTCCCCTCCTATGACTATTGGTGGGAAAAACTTTCTGCAGAGCAAGATTTGCAGCCAAATTAAATAAATTTAAAGGGAAAAAATCACTTGTGAGTGAGAAATTACAATGAAATGGACATTTTCCTCCCTTCCAGTTGGCCTAAGGTGATTTGACGGTTGCCATTTTGTATGTCAGGGCAACGTGTGATTAATCGCATCAATTCGTTCCATAATTTCAACTTCTTGTCATTTTCTTCGAATTTTGAGATCACACTTCTGTTGTCATGAGACTAAAAAATTCATGTGCCGAACTTAACAAGGAAATTCAAGATAATAAAGGCAGGGCGAATGTGATGTCGAAACTGCACTTGAATGCAATATTTTTCTTCTGAAAAAAACCCTGCCTTTATTACGTTGAATTTCTTTGTCAAATTTGGTACATGAATTCTTTAGTTTTATGACAATAGAAGTCCGATATAAAAATTCAAAAAAAGTGACAAGTAACTGAAATTATGAAACAAATTGATGAGATAAATCGCACGTCGCTGACACAAAAAATGACGTCAGTCGAATCACCTTATTAAATAGTCACAGGACTGGCATTACAGTACTAGGAATCATCACTCAAATAAGGTGTTTACACAGATGCTGGAAAAGAAAATCAAGAGGAAATTCGTATCAAGCTTCAGTTCGTTCGTAGATGTAATGTTAATTTTATATTTATCTACGCGATTGCTCCCGAAGTTGAGTGCTCAGATAAGCATACCTAGTACCTCCTTGAAAAGTTTGAGCAGAGGACATACATCCTTAATGGACATTTTGTGAATTAGGACTTCTTCACATGCCATCCATGGGTCAGCAACTGGGCAGAATGTCATGGAGCTGACTGCCTTCATCCCTTACCTAGAATTTCAGGGAAATTAAAAAGCTGAGCATACTTACAAATAAATAAGATTCAAGGTGCTGAGAGGAGCTTCCACGAAGGTGCTACGAGAGAGGAAGGATGACGAGGATCTGGTATATGCAAAACGTGAGAACACACCACACCTCTTCTTTGTATAACCGCGGGCCAAGAGGTTAACGATGTTACATAAAACCGGGTCGGGCACTCAAGAAGGCAAATTTCCAGCGACGACTAGACGAGTTTTGCGGCTGGAATGGTGATTCAGCCAAGCACGTGGGTGGTGACTTCGTTCCAGAAAGACCGGCTGCCCAAATCGGCAAAAGTGCAAAATGCAACTACTGAAAGAAATTGAAGTGATTTCATAAAGGATTCACGATGGCAAAAGCATGGCACGATGATAAGTGATAAGATAAAGGAAAAAAAGTAAACAAAGGAATGCTGTTGTTGTTTGTGGGTTTACTAATTTGTGCACTGTTGCCTGATGAGCTGAATTTTTTATCATGTAGAAGTGAAAATAAAACAAATTACTTATTTATTTATACCGTGGCAACTTCAATAAAGAAGCTTCGCGGCAAAATCGTTTTATAATGTCTCCGACAGAGAGCGTTTCAATAGTGTTTTTTGCCAAAATATGACCCCCCGGACACCCCCATACCCATAATTTCCCAAGGTAGATTTACACCATTGACGTATAATACAATCTAGACCGCGCATTGGTGTAATCGAAACTCCTCAAAAATCTCTCAAGTTAATGCGCGAGGCTGAAGTTGTTCGGATTTCTAGCAGTTTTGTCTTTCGTTACTAGAATTCAGTGTTATCATTCCACGTTGACGGTTATCACTTGTGATAGTGTAACAAGATTGGCCCCCAAATTTGTTTCTTCCCCGTGTTTACCTCTGAAGTTCTTTGCAGCGTTCGGAACTGAATTTCGCATCAGTGGTCTAATTGAATTACATTTTCGTTTACCCTACTTTCTCTACTCGCTACGTGAAGCATTAACCCTTTGTAATACTTTAATTGTTGACTTGGTAAGTTGTTTTGATGAACACTCAATGTGTATTTTGCATGTTATCTATCTAATCCACTTAGTTATGTTTTCTCCATTAAGTAAACACTAGAATTAGTATTTTGTTTCTCTTTAACTTCCCTCTATCATCTCTACGAAGAAGAAGTGGACACCTGCAGTATTTGCCATCAACTGGTCATTTCAATTTGATCAAGTTTTGCACTGACTGTATGACTTCCGGCTGAGCTTTTCGATTGTGTGATTGCAGTTTTAGACATTACTTAGTACCTACCTAATCTGAAGGAATTTTAAATGCAAATGTTTGATCAAATTTTCTTCCATCTATTCATTTAACTTGCACTGGCAATCCAATGGGAAGTGGTAATGACATCATTTGTCTAAAGTTAGTTGGCATTGAATGTAAGCAAGCAATCAACCGCATCACCTTTCCAGCCAATTTGCACTGTCAATCTGCTAGAAATTTAAACATCAGCCTACAAGACATTACTTAACCTAAGAAGGTATCTAAGTTGATTGCCGAAAATTCTGGTCTCATTTGATGTGGCAGTACCTCATGTTCCACTTACTGCTATCAAATGTTGAGCATGAAATTTCCGTCTCACCCTCTCGGCCCAAACTATTGGACGACAAGCACATATGTAAGGTCTGGTTTTAGGCTTGGCCCCAATGTGAGGCGAGTTGGCTCATAAGGTGAGACTGCGATTACCCCCCTGAACTCGTCAATAGGGACTCCTAAGGGGCTCTTTTTTACTTACATGACGGCTCCTTTTTTTTCTTTTTTTTTTTTTACTACTTTTAAGTAGCCCACAAGGGCTAATCCCGCGCATTTTAGTCCTGGCCCCCCTCCGTCCTTACTGAACAACCAGTCCGAGGCAACCATTGTTTGAGACCATCAAACTCGGGTCGCCTGGCCGGGAATCGAACCGGGGACCTCTCGATCATAAAGCTAGTGTTACAACCACTACACCACATGAGGCCGACAGCTATTTTTATTTTAGCTATTTCTATGAAATTCCACCGGAATACCTTTGAGCCCATTTCGATTGCTTGGAGCAATTTATCAAGTTCAACCAATTTTCAACATTCGAGAGATTCTGTAGGTGCCTATGATAAAACTGACCTCTTGGTGGGCTCGATCTGATAATTTTTGGAAGGCCGTGTAGCTACATACTCAGGCTCGGCAACTCAAGCTTTTTTCCTCCGCAAGGAAAACAAACAAAACCATGGACTTCTATGATAATTTTTATTAGCCAGTGTCAGTTGGCATGAGTTACAGTTTGTTCGATAATCTGCCCTCAGATAGACTCTTCATGGGCAGAACTAGTATTGGGCCGGTAGGCGGTAGGGTCTCCATCTCCCAAAATCTATTTGGGCCCTCCCAAGATATGGGAGAGATTTTGCGAATTAAGCGTGTGACACATCTCTCACCATGAATTAGATCAAATTGTCAGTAAAATCAGCTCAAAATTGCTCCTGAGACAACTCAATTTCTCAAAATTACGCGGGGGAGGCCCTTCCAGACCTTCCTTTGAGACGAGGGAAATCCCTTGAGCATCTCTTTGCAGAGGTATAGAATTTTCTCAATTATTATAATTGCGTGAAAATTGAGAAGGCTGCAAAAATTGGGGGAGGCTCTCTTTCTTTCTTTCACCGTGAATCCTGAAGTAAAAACGCATATACAATGAGACATCAGGATGTTTTATGTGCTGGAAGTTTTATAAACATGCTGCTTTTGGGGAGGGAAACTGTTGAGCACTTTTTTTCATATGAAGGCTCAATAATTATAGCAAAATATTAAATTGTGGGAAACGGAAATTATACAATGGGGAAGGGAAGAACTTTCTGCACCCCTGCTCCTTCGGAGTTAGAAGAAACCTACAAATCATCCTTGATGGGATGTTTTTTAGTATCCCATAAAGTTCTCTTGACGAGGTTTATCCTTCTGCCTCAAGGAAGCCTCAACGCTGAAATTAAGTTACGATGTAAAAGAAACAAGCGCCCTTAGTTTTGAATGGGAAGAACACTCCTGGAAGTAACCAGAGCACCCGTATACGGGAGAGTATTGCCAATCCTTTTACTACAGTAACAGTGTGCCGCTCTCTGATTGGTCGGCTATCATGGAGCCCCAAAGTTGGCCCAATGTAAACAAACATGATGGCGAAAAAGTTCTACAAAGTTCAAGACGTGATTTTGGGTGTGACAGAACTTTTTTTATATCCAACTTCGGGATTGAGTTCGGATCGAACGTTGATGAATATTTTTGCCGGAAATTAAGCTTCGAGTGTGATTATCATTCATTTCTCAGCCGATAATGCGTGTTCCTCTGGGTCGGGTTTGTTTACATTGGGCCAACTTTGGAGCTCCAATATAGCCGGAAACTGATGAACCAATCAGAGAGCGGTACAGAGATGGCAATGGAGATGTTGCATGTGAGAGAAATTTGCGATATGACTGTTGATTCTCATGTTAAAGTTCGCGAGAGACACGATGGTGCCAATGGTTTTCTCTGAAATCAACTCTAAAGCTTTAAAAAAGCTCTCAAGTTGTGGCCAAAATAGAAGGGATATCCCACGCTATCCTGAGAGTCCACCTCTACATCGAGACAAACTCTCCATGCAAAGATTGGAAGCAAATACATTGACAGGGTTGCCGTGATTTCAGTTTTAGAATCCCCAAATAAGTTGGCAGCCATGTCAATGTATTTGCTCCACGTCTTGGCATGGAGAGTTTGTCCTGATGTAGAGGTAGACGCTCAGGATAGCGTGGGATATCCCCTCCATTTTGGCCTCTTTGGCCAGCTTTTTTTGAGCTTGGGAGTGGATTTTAGAGAAAACCAGTGGCACCATCGTGTTTCTCGTGAACTTTTACCTAAGAATCAACAGTTAAATCGCAAATTCCTTACACATGCTACATCTCCATTCTCTCCCGTGTACAGGTACTCTAGATGCAACTATTCGGGCTCCCTGGTTGTCCGTGTTGCATACGCACGGAGGTGAAGGCGTTTTGAATGTCCAGGCATTCACCACTTCATCACAGCGTGCGTGGGCCCGTGGCGCCAACGTTTACTGCGAGGATCGGTTCCTCATATTTGGAAAAGTCGGGGGTTTTTCAAGCACCCCTCGATTCTGAATAAATGGAAAACAGTATCATGGATTTTTTCAGCTCCGCGTATCCACGAGAGTCTTTTCACACAGTCAAAGTCTACAGATCAAGCATTAAGAAATTTTAAAACCACAAAATTAGTTCAAAACAACATTATTCACTTATCTAGCGATTTCGGTGCATCGACTCTAGCAATGTAGGACGTGTGCCCATGTTCCAAGGCTTTGAAAAACGGTTTTTTTTTAAATGGGTGACCCTTTTAGTCATTGATCTAGATACTAAAACATTTTGATGTTCGCAAAACGGTTCCCTTGATATTTTAATTTTGGAATGGTTCGACCCCAAAATGCATTCTGCCGAACCTGAGATCCACCTTAAAGGCCCGATGTGGGTGGTAGCGATCGAGACTGCCGCGTTCTATTCCAAGCGCAAAGGGCCGTAAATGTAAGGAAGTATCGATTCCTCTTCGATAACTAACGACGCACAGTGGATCGCGTCAATGGAGATGTTGCATGTGTGAGGAATTTGCGATTTGACTGTTGATTCTCATGTAAAAGTTCGCGAGAATCACAATGGTGCAACTGGTTTTCTCTGAAATCGTCTCCCAAGCTCAAAAAAAGCTCTCAAGTTGAGGGCGTAATGGAGGGGATATCCCACGCTATCCTGAGAGTCCACTGCTACATCAAGACAAAGTCTCCATGCAAAAATAGGGAACAAATACATTGACAGGGGTGCCACTTTATTTAAGGACTCCAAAACTGAAAACACGGCAACCCTGCTAATGTATTTGCTCCCTATCTTTGCATGGAGAGTTTTTCTTGATGTAGAGGTGGACTCTCAGGGTAGGGTGGGATGTCCCCTCCATTTTGGCCTCAACTTGATAGCTTTTTTTGAGCTTGGGAGTTGTTTTCAGAGAACACCAGCGGCACCATCGTGTTTCTCGCGAACTTTTACATGAGAATCAACAGTCAAATTGCAAATTCCTCACACATGCAACATCTCCATTCTGGCGGGCAAACCGGGCGGGGCTAGCCGCGGGGCACATTGACTCCGAATTGCCAAGCAATCGTATCTCTCCAGTCATGGTGGTCGCATTTCGATTTTGGCTGCCATCTTGAAGCGTTGTGACGTCAGGAGGGTACGGGTTATGCCGTGCAATCCGAGGTTGAGTCGGCCCCCCCGGCCTCGGCCAGCCCATGTACCCGATGTACCCGATACCGTGTGACGTCCAGAGGGTACGAAATGCGACCACCATTCTTTATCCGCCTTGTCTCCAGTCAAACAGTCGCGTGGCAGAATCATCGCACGCTCCCAACGCTCCTCTAATTTTGCTCAAATATTGATCTTTCGACGCACTGATAAGCGCCTAAGTATAAGCCAACCAACTCGCGTCCTCTTCAGTGCTTTCTGTGTCAATCTATAGGTTGGTTTGGACCTCGTTCATCGTGATTTTTTTTACGTCTGCAGAGGCGGATCCAGCAATGGAGTTGTTGCATGTGTGAGGAATTTGCGATTTGACTATTGATTCTTATGTAAAAGTTAGCGAGAAATACGATACTGCCACTGGTTTTATCTGAAATCAGCTCCCAAGCTCAAAAAAGCTCTCAAGTTGAGGACGTAATGGAGGGGATATCCCACGCTATCCTGAGAGTCCACGGCTACATCAAGACAAACTCTCCATGCAAAGATAGGGAGCAAATACATTGACAGGGCTACCACTTTAATTGGGGACTCCAAAACTGAAATCACGGCAACCCTGCTAATGTATTTGCTCCCTATCTTTACATGGAGTTTGTCTTGATGTAGAGGTGGACTCTCAGGATAGCGTGGGATATCCCCTCCATTACGCCCTCAACTTGAGAGCATTTTTTGAGCTTGGGAATTGATTTCAGAGAAAAC